TTGTTTGGTTTTTTTGTATCCCGGGGTGCCTCGAACAGCCACTTGGCTCGATGAACTTGCTTATTAAAAGCTTGTTAATTGTCTTATCCAATCCTTTATCCCTCTCTACCCTCTTACATTCCTCCAGCCCATTTTGTTTTCCCTCTACTCCACTAATAAGGGATGGGGCATGGATACAGAGATTTCTGGGATGTAGCCGTCTGGAGAAGAAGGATGGGGAGAGAAGGGCTGTAATAGAATATGGGGATTGGGTGGTGATGAGGGGTCCTTTCCAGGTGTGGGCTAGCAGCTTCTTGCCAGATGTGGCCCAGCGGGAGGAACGAAGCCAGCGGGCTTATCAGAAGCAGTACGGAGGTCCCATGCTTTTGGAGTATGGGCATCAGGAAGCCGAGAGAAAGGTAAGCTCAGAGTTCGGAGCCTTAGAGTGCTTGAGATTACCTGAGGCGCACTCCTAACCCACGAGCATTTAAGACATACTTTCGTGCCCTTCATCAGAAACTGAGCCTAACCGATAGGATTTTGTGATTTCCTCTGCCCACCCCTCTCACCCCACTGTCTCTCTGTTGGTAGATGATGAATGTCAGGAAGACTAAGCAGTGGTGGGGACAATTCAAGGCCCCTTCCCCTGAAGTTAGATCCCTGTGACCCTGAGACACCTACTTTCTCTTAACCCTAGCTCCTAGTTGACCTTTTGCTCCCTCTTTCCGCATCCCTAGGAGCGAGTGGTCCTAGAGAGTGAACACTGGCTGGTGCTGGTGCCCTTCTGGGCTGTGTGGCCTTTCCAGACACTGTTGCTGCCGCGGAGACATGTGAAGAGGCTCCCAGAGCTGAGCTCTGTGGAACGAGATGGTGAGAGGCCTTGCCTTCCTCAGATGGGTCCTGCCTATCCCCCCGTCAGTTCCTCTGGAACTTCCCTCTGTCTCTTCGGTTCCTTGGAGGGGTTTAGGGAGGTGGTAGGGCAGCTAGATGATTCAGTGGATAGAGTGCTGGGCCTGGAGTCAGGAAGACCTGAGTTCAAATTTGACTTCAGACATTTAATAAACTGTGATCCTGGGTAAGTCAATTAACCTCTGTCATAATCCACTGGGGAAGGACATGACAAACCATTCCAGTACCTTTGCCAAGAAAACCCCATGGACAGTATGGTCCATGGGGTCATAAAGAGTCAGACACAACTGAAAAACCAGGAAAAGGGAGATGGTAGCATTGTAGCTAGGCAGCTAGGCACGGTGGGTAAAGTGCCAGGCCTGGAGTCAGCAGCTCATCTTCCTGAGTTCAAATCTAGCCAGACACTTATTAGCTGTGTGACCCTAAGTAAGTCACTTAACTGTCTTTTCCTCAGTTTCCTCATCTGTAAAAGGAGCTGGAGAAGGAAATGGCAAACCATTCCAATATCTTTGCCAAGAAAATCCCAAATGGGATCACAGAGAATTGGACACGACTAAACAACAAAAGCATTATAGAAGGGCTCTGGCTTTGTGGGACAGGGTCCCATCTTCTAGGCAGTGATCAGAGGAGCAGAGCAGGAAGAACTTGGCTTCTGAGTTTTAAATGTCCTGGCTTCTGAATTTGTACTTGTAGGCTCTGTGGGTCTAGGTACTGAGTTCAGATAATAACAACATCTCTGTTCTAGATCTGGCTTGCATCATGAAGAAGCTGCTGACCAAATATGACAACCTATTTGAGACATCTTTCCCGTACTCCATGGGCTGGCATGGTGAGGTTCATCCCCGCTACAGGAACATATGGGGCACCTTAAACCCAAGAGAGAGCTCAGACCTCTTTTCCAGCTCTAGTTTCCTTTTGAGTCTTGTTGAATTTTGCCCAGCAAAGACCACATCTCCCATCAAGCCTTGCTAAACGATCCTGTTAATGCTGTAAGGCATACTGGGAGTTGTGGTCTCTGCTGGGTGCAGCAATTCAGCGAGGCATGTAGAGTAGGACATGCTGGGAGTTGTGGTCTCTGGATGAGAAGTTTATAGCATAATCTCATTACATTTTCCATAATGCTGTCCTGCAGTCTACCTGTTGAGGCAAAACATGTCAGAAGTTTGGTCTGAAATGAGACTTAGTTCTTTAAAACATGCTTTGGGAATTTAGTCCTGAGTTTTCCATGGGACCGACCCGTTGGAGGCAGAGCATGTTTAAAAAAAGAATACCCTTAAAAATATTTATGGTTATCTCTTATTTTTATGTCACCTTTATTTCAGAATATATCCCTCTCCCTTCCTTTACCCAACAAGCCATTTCGTGTAATAAAGAATTTTGGAAGAAAAAAAGTCCACTTAGTGAAAACCACCAACCAACGCATGAATTGAGTTGGACAGTGTATATCATTTTCCATACCCGTAGTCCTTGCCCTTGCAAAGAAGAGAAGGTAGAGTTTTTTGGCTTCTCCAGGGCCAAGCTTCGTAGTCATCATAATGGTTTTTTTGTTGTTTCCAATTACATTGTTGTCATTGTGTATGTTTTCCTGGATCTGCTTCATTCTGCATTGATTCATGTCAGTCTTGGGAGTAGAGAGACTGTTTACTTATGTGCTGCAGAGAAGTGAACTATTTGAACTGAGAGAATGAAGACAGCTCACTTCTATTTCCTTGCCTTCGAAGGTGCCCCGACTGGGGCTGAGGCTGAGGCTGACTGGGACCACTGGCAGCTCCACGCCCACTACTATCCCCCACTGCTGCGATCAGGCACCATCCGAAAGTTCATGGTTGGTTATGAGATGCTGGCCCAGGCTCAGAGGGACCTGACCCCAGAGCAGGTCAGCTTCCCAGAATTTAATAACAGTTTCCATCAACCCAAGGGTTAATGAAACCACTTGGGTGTATGGGGGAGGGGCAGGGACAAGGGGATGGGGAAGGGATCTTCAGTGCTTCTGCCCCCTTTCCCAATTCTTCTTCCCTTTCCCCAGGCTGCAAAGCGATTGAGGGCATTACCAGAAGATCACTATAGGCTTCGACAGAAGGACTCGTCCTGACCATGGTCCTCAAGAGGAGGCCACAGTTAGGACTGGTTCCAAGCTGTCCTCTACCTCCCCCACCCCCAGTTTGCTTCAATCCCCTTATCTCACAGGGTGGGGGAGGGGTCTTGAATTGGCAAATAAATCCTTTGTCCTTGTCTTTTCGGCTCCTTAGAAGAGGGAGGAAGAGGGCCATTTCTTCTAGCCTCTGGTCTGATTGGCTGGAGTTGAGGGGAGCCCTGTGTCTTGGGGGCCAGTCTCACTGAGGCTCCTGTGGACAGTAGTCAAACCCTAGCTGTGCTGGAGCCAGGTTCTGCCAAAGCTTGGCCCTGTATCAGCCCTCCAGGGAGGGGGCCCAGACTAGCCGGCGGCGGTGGTGTCTCTCTGCTGGCAGGCTACACATGGGTGTTCACATGGCTCAGAGCTTCTCCGCCCTCCCACGTGCTGTAGGCACACTGATACAGTGATCAGTTGTGAATCTGTGTCTGTGGCAGCCTTCCTGGAAAGGGTGAATGAGGGGCCAGGGTGGGGAAGGATTCCAGACTTTTAGAGGACTTTATGGACCACTTTCACACCAATTTTACTGACCCTTCAGGACAGCCTGGTGAGGAGGGGGGAACGGGAAGTATTAGTGCTCATTTACACAAATGGCCAGTTCAGGGCTTATACTCCTGATTTGTGGTCAGGGTGGGGCTTGGATTAGGAGTTGGAAGTCTGAATCCCAGCCCTGCTTTTTAGCAGCTATGTGACCTGGAAAGGGAGACCAGGGCTTAGATTTCTTCATCAGTCAAATGGGAGGTGGGGGGGGGTCTTGTGATGAGAAAGAAATTATATTTAAGGGTTCTTTTCAGCTGCAAATCCTGTGATTTCTGGTCCATCGTTACTTCCACTATGAACCCTTTCCAAGTCTTGGGTCCTGGCTGTGCTTCAGGAGCCAACTCAAGAACTCAAACTTCAGGAAAGGAATTTCACCTCCTGTCCTTGGTTTCCTCTTGTAAAATGAGTCTCTTGTGCTAAATTGGGGTTTCTTAATCTGGGATGTGAACTTGGATTGGGGGGGACACACAATTAGGCTTACTTTCACTAGTCTCTAAAATTTAGCATTTCCTTCAATTATGAGTGTGGGCAACAAAACTATTATGAGAAGGGGTCCACAGACACCAGATTGCCAAGAGGGTCCAGAACACAAAACTAAGCACCCCTAGATCAGATGTCTGGGGTCCTTCCAGCTCTGACATTTAGGTTGGATTTTAGGACCACTTCCTTTCCGCCTCACTTTTGCCTCATTTCTCTCAGGGGTTTTCTTTTCTATACATTATACCATAAAGTGGAGAGAGTGGGGGAAATGGCAAGACTGTGGAGAAGTTAAGGCCTTTGAGGGGAGGGGCCCCAAAGCACTTTACTTTGGATTTGGAGCTCTGGAGCCAATGAAATTGGGAGGAGAGTTACTGAAGCTCCTCTTTAAGTACCCCCTTCCTCCCAACACAAACTCAGAATTTGAGAGGGCCATCAGTCTGAACCTAGAAAAGCTGAAACCTTTATTATCTAAATACAAGTAGCTACCCGCCCTCACCCGAAGCCCTTTCATGCCGGACTGTTTCATCCTATTACCCACTCCGCTTATCAGGCAAGGGCATTTTCCATAGGTAGGGTGATCTAACATCCAATTGGTGCAGTTTGGTGTTGGGGGGAAGAATGGGGGCAGATAGTCCCCTCACCTCGTGTCCAATAGTCAGGGGATATACTTTCTGGCTAAGGTCCAGGAGTCCCAGGTGCTGGATCTCCGGAGTTCCAATTCTCCCGTGCTTATCTGTTTGAAATCTTGGCTTTGTGAGTGAGTGAGTGAGTGACCCTCTCAGCCTTTGACCGCTCCCTTGGCAGCCCTCTTCCCATCTCAAGTGTCAATGACCGGACTCCCGCCCTTCCTCCAGTTTGCTGCCCCTCCCGCTCCAGGGACAGGAAGTGTCCGGGCAGGGGTGGGGGCCTGGGCCGCAGCCGGTGATTGGCAGTGCAGGACTCCAATGGGCCTCAGAGCCCACCCCCTCACCCCCATTCCCCAGCTCCGCCGGGACCGGAGGGCAAGAGCCCGGCCCCGCTCTGCCCAGGGGGGCGGGGGGGGCTGGAGGCTGAGTAGCAGAGGAGGGAGCGGGCGGGCTGGCGGCGCGGCCGCGTAAGGTGAGGACCTGACCGGTGGGGCGGGGGACAGTGTGAACGGGGCCGCCCCCAGGGCCCAGTTACACTGCTGTTGCCTCTGCCGGGTCGAGAGCCCGGGCGCATCTCCCCAGCTCAGGGTGGAGAGCGTGTATTCTATGTTAATTGCGCGAGTTTGTCTCCCCAGCCATTCGTAAGTCCCAGGCCCGCTTTGAGCTCGGTCCCCATGTGTCTGCGCGGATGTCTCTTCTGGGTGTCTCCTTGTCTACTCGGTCTCTTCCTTTCTCCTGTGTCTGATTCCCTGGAATATGAGTGTGCTAATTGACATTTGAAAGATACTGGGGCAAGACGAGGGGACCTTGTTTATGATGGGGAAGATTGGGAAGCCTGGAACTCCAAGTTAGGTGTATGTGTGTGGGGTGGTGGTGGTGGTGGTGGTGGTGGTGGTGGTGGTGGTGGTGGGGACGATCAGAGAGTATGTGCAAAGTAGATTACGCGTAGATGTGCCAGCTTAAAAATGTGCCAGTGTGTGAGCCTGTGTATGTGTCCAGATTGGTGTGCCGAGGACTTTTCCTGAAGCTGGACCCCCTCTCTCCACGTCCCCCATACCCCCTCTGCTTTCCACGAGTAGAGGGAGAGAGAGAGATGGATGGATGAGGGAGACCTGAAGAAGAGAGGAAGAGAGACAGGAAGGGAGACAGAAAGAGGGAGAAGGGTGTAGGGGTAGTGGGCGAGAAACCAAGGGAGGAAGAGGGAAGAGTAAACTGGGGAGGGAAAAAAGGAGAGGAGTTGGAGAGAGATTGGAAAGGTGGAGAGAAGTGAGAGGGGAGGGAGAAGGGCTTGAGCCAGGATTTTGAGGGGCCTGAAGAGGGGTTTGGAGGGAGGGCGGAGCTGCAACCAGCCAGAGTTTCCTGAGGGAGGAGTTTAGGGGGTGGATTATCAGCCAAACTCTGGAGCTCTCCTTCTTTCCTCAGTCTCAAGGCCTTCCCCCTTCCGTCTCACCCTCTGGGGAGCAGCCCTGCCCAGCTGTGGGGAAACATCTGGTAGAATGGGAGGCGTGGAAAGAGGAAAGGGGGTGTGTGTGGGGAGGCTGTCCGTATGTATCTCTTCATCTCTCTCCTGTGATCTGGTCCCTCTATCTGCATGGAGATGTTGAGTGCATGCCTACATTTGTTTATGCCCATGTTATCGGTGTGTAAGGAAGGACATGTCTGAATATCTATTGCTTATGTGTTTCTCTGTTGTGTGTACATCTCTGTCTTTTGAGTGCCAGAGTATCTATGAATGTATGTCTCTGCATGTTTGTTTCTATATAACCAAGTGCTTATCTATATTGGTGTCTTGTCTGTACCTGTCTTTGTAGTCTGTGCATTTGTCCTCTCTGAATCCAGTGGTGACCATTCAACATCCCAGTTAAAAGTTGGGTTCTCTTCTTTTTTTGGGGGGGGAGTGTGATACAACTTTTGAATTGTTACACTCCTCCTGCCCCTCAACACACAAACATAGCGCGTACACATGCATTGTTATACAAATGAACCCACCCACATGGACACACACAAAATCTCTGTAAACCCTTACTAGATTATTCACAGACTCATTTCCAAGCAATGGGGATGAGGGAAAAGGTAGACCTGAAGCTTCCTTTCTAGTCTGTAAGATTGTGTGTGTGGGGGGAGTTCTGGCAGTGGAAGAGGCCCATTCCTTAGCCTTACCCCTAGGGCTGGGGGAGGGGGAGGGGAGGGAAGGGGGCCTGGCTGAGGGGCAGCCATATTCTGCCAGGGAATGGGGAGGGGGGGAGAAGGGGTGGGAATTGGAGGAACCAGGCAAGGGGAAGTGGGGAGAGGGGGGCTGCCTTGAACTCCCAGAGCTGAGAGCTGAGAGCTGAGAACAGAAGCAGAGTAGGAGCTGGCTGAGGGCTGGAGGGAGGAGGAAGAATCATGGACACAGAGCGCAGCAGGAACTAAGGTAGGGGGAATAAAAAACGGGTGGAGGGTGCAAAGTGATATAAGCCCTATACCTCACTCCATGGGAAAGGTTATCTGTGTCCATGTATGTAATCGAACAAGTATATAGACATGTGTATACACATGTAGACAAACACGTGCATTTACATGTGTCCAGTACCCTGTATCTGAGACTGGCCTTTCTATAAAATCCTCTCTCTATTCCCCTTCCCCACTCATCTCTGTCACTCTCAATTCACCTTTCTGCTATGTCTCCCAGATCCTGTCTCCTGGTCTCTGTTCTTCATTCCTCCTCCCTTAAGGTGCCTCCCCTCCCCCTCTCCCTCCCCCAATCACCCTTTTGTCTCTGGGCCTCTGGCAGCAGCTGTTGCATCTGGATTTGATTAGTCTTTTACCTCCCCTGTTTCTCCCTCCCTCTCCCTAAGCCTCTAAGGCTCTTTCCTAGGAGTGAGTCCTAAAGAGAACTAAGAGCAGAGTGGGACAGAGTGGCCCAGGGTTTGGTGAGAGCCAGACTGTCTTCTCTGCTTGCCCCAGAGAGGGACAGGATGAAGTACTCATAATGGTTGGCTTAAGCAGGGTTGTGGTCAGAATATGGCCGCTCTCTGATGCTGTCTGTCCTATCTGTGGACACTCCCCCTCCCCATCAGACAGACCCATCCCAGGAGGCACTGGGGCTAAGGTGGTGGGGATCCTTAGTTCTCCAGACTATTTCCCAAAGACAGCAGTTTCCTAGGTTCTAGGGTCCAACCCTGCCCATCCCTTCCTAAGTGGGTTTGGCTATCTTCCAGGTTAGGTATCTAGGGGAAAAGGGTTAAGAGTGAAGCTGGGCCAAGCTAGAGTAGGGTGGGGGGAGCTGCCCTAGTAGTGCCAAATTCTGAGCTAGCTCCAGTGCTGAGGGTTGTCAGGAGGAGGCGGGGGTCTGGCAAGGACCCCAACGCCTCCAGCTTTTGTCCTCGGCCCCAAGCCCAGAACTGGGGCTCCTGGGGGCTGGGGTGGGGGTAGGCGTGGTGGTGAAAAGGGGGTGGGACTATGTGTATACAAGTCTGTCTCAGTGTGTGAGCATATGTATTAGTACTATGAGTATCAAGTGTGCATGTGTGTATTTTTGTGAATATTATCATCTGTGTTTCTGCCTTTTATATATTTGAGTGTATATGTGTCATTGTATGTATGTATATGTATATCCTCCTGCTCCAGAAAATTAAAGTCCCTCTCAGTTTTCTGCTTTATGCCTTGGTTTCCCTTCTGGAAAGAGAAAGATCCTTGGTAGTGAGGCAAGGGGGAAGGAATGATGCCTGGGAGGAAGTAGCATGCAGTACATAGAGGAGTCTGGGGTCCCAGAGAGCCCCTTCCGTTGGGATGACCCTGTACCTCATTTTCCTTCCAGATGAGCAGCAGTTGCTCTGGGCTGGGCAGGGTCCTGGTGATTGTGGCTGCAGCCTTAGTGTCTGTTTCTTCCACTGGGCCTGAGGCCTGGGGTCCCCCAGGTGAGAAAACATGGCATAGACCAGGGCCCGCAACTATTGACCTAAGAGAGTTATCAGACCTTTGACTCAGGATGAAACCACTACCCCCCACCCCCACCTGTGTTCCCCAGAAATGTGATTTCATAACCTAAGAGCCGATGTCCAACTCCTGTTCCCCAGGGATGTGACCCCATAACCTAAGAGCTGATGTCCAACTCCTGGAATCCCTCGTGACCACTATCCCCTAATGTGGGAGGGAATTGGGGGAGGTCTCAGGAGTCAGCATGGGGAGTCTTTCTCCTTAGAATTCATACCAACCCCACCCCCAGGGGTCCAATACGGGCAACTTGGAGAGACCATTGTGCTCTTGTGTCCAGGAGTGACTCTCGGGTAAGTGTCTCACCGTACTTCTACAACCTTCATCACAACTTTCTTACATCTTCAGGGGATGATGGGTGGAATATGTAATCAGGAGTTGAGGGAGTGGGGTGGGGTGGAGGTACATTGACTTCTGCTCTTCTTATCCCTTGTCCAGCATTTAGCATAGTGCTTGGCACATAGTAGGTGCTTAATAAAAGTTTATTGATTGGTCTCCCGACTTCATCCATGCTCCTTCCCCAACTTCATCCTGCTCTATCTTCAACCCTCCCCACCCACACCTTGCATCCTCAGGACGCTGGTTTCCTGGCATCGGACTGATGGCCACGCACTTCTGGGGACAGCGAGGTCAGAGTTAGGGTTGGGACAACGGGAATTGGTCCTGGAGCAGGCAGATAGCAAAGACGAGGGCACTTACATCTGTCAGTCCCAGGATGGGGGGACCAGAGGCTCTGTGACGCTCCAACTAGGCTGTGAGTGGTGTTTGGGGATTGAGGGTTATTGGAATGGCTTGGGGCATGGCATGGGTGACCCTGGTGGGGGGTGGTAGAGTTAAGTGGGCCTGTGAGGGACTGGGAAGAGATGGGACTATAGCAAGGAGGAAGTCTGGAGTAGAGTAATTAGTGGCTCCCTGGCAGCCCTCAGCTCCTGTCATGTCCTCACAGACCCCCCATCTCGTCCCATGGTTTCCTGTCGGGCATCAGACTATGAGAATTTCTCCTGTTCCTGGAGCCCTAGCCGGGTCAGTGGCCTTCCCACACGCTACATTGCCTCCTACAGGTGTGTGAGTCATGGATGAAAGGAAAATGGAATGGGCACGGGGAAATGAGGAGAAGGGAAAATTGAAGGTAGACAAACTACCCCTGAGACCTCCTTATGAAGTGTCTACAGGTAGGGAAATGCCACCTGGGGGGCTGTGGCAGCCCAGAAGTATAACCTAAGCATCCCTTTTGTCTTTCTTCCTGACACAGAAAGAAAATCATCCTTGGAACAGAAGGAGGAAGGTAGGTAGCCCTGATCTTCTGTTAGCCCTGGTGGGCTGTTTGTGGAGAGAGATGAGGTGGGCAGAGGGTTTTAGGAGGCTAAGCTCAGCCTTTGTGTGGGATCCATGGTAGGATTGGGAGTCCCTTGAGTGGGCAGTCCTGGTGCCCACTGTGCCCTCTCCTTACTATGTAGGCCAGCACTGTCTGCAGATCCCTGGCCGTGCTTACCAGAACTTCCTGGGGCTGCGCGGTGTGTGGTCCATGGCTCTGAGTTTTGGAGCCAATATCGGATTAATGTGACTGAGGTGAACCCCCTGGGAGCCAGTGCCCGCCTACTGGATGTGAGCATGCAGAGTATCTGTGAGTAAGCCCTTATGATGCCACCTAAAATACTGACTTCTATCATAAAACATCTGTGAATGATCCCTCCCCCCAATGCTGACCCTCTGCAAGAAAGTCTGTTAATACACAGAACATCCATGAGTAATACCCCAGTCCAATTACATTGATATTATGGATGCTGAACCCATCAACCAGCAGCACATTTTAGAATGATCTCAGTGACTCCTGTAACATATGGAGTGACCTCATATGATTCCCTCAAAAACTGACCCTCATAGAGTTACGGATTTAAAGGTGGCAGGGGCCTTAGAAGCTATGGAGTCCAACCCCCTCATTTTGCAGATGAGGAAACTGAGGCTTAGAAAGGTTCAGTGACTTTTTCCAGGGTCACCTGACTAGTAAGTGCCTGAGGCAGGATTTGAACTCAAGTCTTCCTAACTCCAAACCTAGCATTCTATCCACTGTGACATCTAGCTGTCTCAACCCTATCATCACACAAAGCATTCTATCCATGATCCCCTAAGATCTTCCACATTGGCTTCTACTATGAACCCCCTAAACATTGCCCCTTGCCCCCCCGCAGCGTGTCTGTGAATGACCTTCTCTCAATACTGTCCCCATAAAAAGACAGGTACTGCATGCATACTAACCCAATCATTGTGCACAAGATCTGTTGGTGAGCTCCCACAACCCTTTTCCACATGGACACTTTATTAACACATTCAGGGACCCTGGGACTCCTCTTTGTAAAAACTGACCCTACTAGCACAGAATGTTTCTGGATAACTCTCTGGTGACCTCTATGTTAGCCCCTATGACTCCTCAGTCACTCATCCCCTTCCCACTGACTCCATCAGCATATAACATATTCTTGTCCCCAACTTGTCAAAATACTGACCCCTTAGTGACCCCAAAACTATATCCCACCTTTGCTGAATGATCCTGGAGGGGTACTGGTTCCCTAGCCCTAGGCAGGGGCTGGCTGACTTTGGCATGCTCCCTCCTCTTTTCTCTCTGCTTAAGGATTCTTTTCCCAGCAGCCATACCAGGCCACTCACTAGGCGCTTCCTATGTCCCTGAGTCCTTTGGTGACTTAAATTCTTCCTTTTCTCAAACGCTTACAAGATGGAAGGTTTCAAGGGGAAGGGTTACGAAGAAGTGGAAGTGAATAAAATCAGACCACTAGCACACTGCCAAACAGCTGAGTTATGAAGGAGGATTTGATCCTGTTATTCTTGACCCCTGGGCGTCCTACCTCGGTTCCTGGATAAAGAAGGAAAGAAACAAGTGCTTGTGGCCTTACCGTGTTCCAGGCACTGTGATCCTCTGTTATTTAATAACTCTCGTTTATATAGGGCTCTAAGGTTTGAGTGCTTTCCTCAGCCCTGTGACATAAGCAGTGCAGAGGTCATCGCCCCCATTTTCTAGAGGAGGACACTGAGGTTCACAGAGATTATGTGACTTGACCATAGTTCCATAGTGAGTACGTGTCGGAGCTAGGATTCCTACCTAGGTCTTCTGCTGACTCCAAGTCCAGTGTTCTCCCAGGTATACTGTTCTGCCCCATTCCTTCAGTAGGTACAGCTGCCCAGGTCCCTCTAGGCCTCTGCTTTCTAGTCCTACCTCTCTGTGAGCCTTCTTCCCTACCTCTAACTCCAAGTTAGGCTTCACCTCTGCTCTATACCCATACTGACTAATGTGGGTACTGCTTTAGTTCCTGGATAAAGAAAGAGAGAAAGAAGTATTTAAGTGCCTACCGTGTGCTAGGCACTCTGAGAAGTGTTTTACAAACATTATTTTATTTGATCCTCACAACCACCCTGGGAGGTATTTTCCCCTTTTTACAGTTGAGGCAGAACTGGGTTAAGTGACTTGCCCAGGGTCACACAGCTAGTAAGCATCTGAGGTCAAATTTGAACTCAGGTCTTCCTGATTTCAGGCCCAGCACTATATCCACCAGATCCGCTAGTTTTCTCTCAGTTAGGCTCTTTTCTCTTTGGCCCCAAAGATTACTTGCCGAGGTTTCATGCCCTACCTTGGGTGACCTTGTTTACATCTTTGTATCTGCAGCGCTTTGCACCATCTGCTAGGAGTCTCTGACTCTAGCCTCTAACATTCTGTCCTCATCCCTGACCTACTCATCATCACCCTTTTAAGATTTATTTTTTTTAGAGCCCTTTCATCAGCTGGTCCTGTCATCTGGTGAAGCTTGAGTTGTCTACCTTTTGTCCTAAGCTAGCACCTTTACCTAATCTCAAGAGCAGTTTTTGACCTAAACACCATCATCCCAGTGGCTCACATTTTGTATCCTGCCATCTTTCTTCAAAAACCAAAAGCATCCTTCCTCCCTGCTTCTTCCTCTTTCAAAGCCCAAGCTGGCTTTGGGACCACACACAAAGCTGTTATAGCCTCTAGCTGTCTATTCATCTGCAAGATACTGATGGTGAGTAGCAGAGGATCATAGAGCCAGAAGGGACTTAAGAGGCCATCTAATCCAACCTTCTCATTTTCCATAAGAGAAACAGGCCCAGAGAAGCTATGGAATTTACCCACAAGATAAGTAAGCAACAGAGTCACAATTTGAACCCAGTTCTGACTCAAAATTCAGTGTGCTTTCCACTGTCCCAGGTGCTGAACCCAGTGAGTGATGGTTTGTCTGTTGGTTCTACCTTTTCCCTCAGGTTTCTTTCTTACTTTCTCTTAGATACAGTTCCAGTGGAAGGAGGTGAAATTCTTCACCAAATCCCTTACATTCCTATATTACATGATTTCCTCCATTAAAGTACTTCTCTGATGCCTTTCATTGTCATAGAGGAGACCCCATATTCCCAAAGGCTGTTAGTGGAATGCAAGCTTTGGCAGCTCTTAGCAGGAAGGAGAGGCTTCAAGCAGGGGCTCAGAGGTCCTTTGTGCATTTGTCCCTGGAGGATCAGCCTTGTTAATTCCATGAAATTCATTGCCAGATGGTTAGCCAAAGAGCGACTTTTTTTTTGTCACAACTTATAAGGAGTGGGTGGAACCTCTCATCTCCTAAGGCATTTTGAGAGTTTGGGATCTTTGTTGGCAGGTGGAGTACTTATACTATTGGATCAATTAAAGTTTGAAGTAATTTCAGTCAGTCAGCAAACCACATTCATTAAGCACCTACTAGTGCCAGGCACTGTGCTAAGTACTGGGTTACAAAGAAAGGCAAAAAAGAGTCCCTGTTTTCAAGGAGCTCAGTCTAATGGGAGGAGATAACATGCAAATGATTATGTATGAGCAAGATTTAAGTAGGATAAATTGGGTAGAGTCTCAGGGGGAAAGCACTAATATTAAGGACTGGGAAAGTTTTTGCAAAAAGGGAATGGAGTGTTATGTGTGAGAAGCATCGAGGTGTCACTGGATTGTAGAGTGGGAGGGAAATAAGGGGTAGAAAGAAAGGAAAGTTAGGAAGGGGTCAAGTTATGAAGGGCTTTAAAAGTCAAACAGAAGATTTTCTATTTGACCCTGTAAGTACTAGAAATCCACTGCAGTTTATTCAAAGCAGGGGGTGAGGTGGTCAGGCCTCCACTTAAGGAGGATGGACTGGAGTAGGGAGAGTCGTGAGGCAGCGAGTTGACCAGCAGGCCACACATGGTGCAGATGTGAGGTGATGACGGCCTGCACCAGGCCTGCAGAAGAGAGCAGGGAGCTTATGCAAGAGGAATCATGAAGATGAACCTATAAAACTTGACAACTGACTGGATGGGGGGAGGTGAGAGTGTAGAGTCAGGGGTGATGTTACCCCGGACAGTCCTAGAGAAGAAAAAGGGAGGGCAAAGATAACTTGAGTTTGGGACTTGTGGAGTTTAAGATTTCTATGTGACATCCATTTTGGGATGTCTAAAAGTAAGTTGGAGAGGTGACCTGGAGGTCAGTGGAGAGGTCAGGATCTAAGAATCATCTGCCTAGAGATGATAATTGACTCCATGGGAGTCACCAAATAAAGTAGTACAGAGGGAAAAGAGTAGAAGGACTGAGCCCTGGGGGACACCCACTCTGGGCTCATATCAGGACACAAAATATTAAACACACAGTAAAACTATATACAGATACATATACACATGCACGTATACACATACACACATTCTTATTCTATATAATTCCCAACAAAGCAGAGGGCTATTGCCTCAATCCTCAGGTCCCTAAATAATAGACTCTACATGACAGTGGCCCAATTACAGACCCTTCTACACACAAGGTGACCTCTCTCTAACACAACCACCAATCCCAGCATACCGATCATTTCTGTTCACCATCTCTCAGTAACTCTACCATTGATGACACCTCTGTTCCTACCTATGCGTGCTTCCTGGTATGTCCTACCAACACCTTCCCCAGTCCCAGTTTCCATCTGTCTCTCGACTGTCTCTGATCTAGACTCAGGGCAGAGTGTAAGGGGCAGCAAGGAGGAGCTTCCCACCCCCACTGACCCTGATCCCATTCCTACTTTCATGTTCACAGTAAGGCCAGACCCACCCCAGGGACTTCGAGTGGAACCAATTCCTGGGGCTCCCCGACGCCTGCTGGTCAGCTGGGCCTATCCAAACTCCTGGCCCCTCCAACCCCACTTTCTGCTCAAGTTCCGACTGCAATATCGCCCTGTGCGCCACCTGACCTGGTCCATGGTAAGGGAAAAGGTGGGACAGAAGGATTTAGCCCAGTCCTTGGTAAGGGGGACTTGGTGAAGGAATGGAGTGGAGGCAAAAACACGTAAGCTTTTTCCACAGGATAGGTGCCCTCAGATCTGGGGGTCCTGTCCCCATGGGCTCAGCCTACTCTCCTGTGTATGTCCTGTTCTCTTGACTTGGGGTGTCTCTGTGTGTGGGGAGGCATCCTGTCTAGGATGGACAAGGAGCACACTAACATCCATAATCATCCTGCTTCATTTGGTCTCCATCTCCCAGCTGTCTTTGGTTTGTTCTCTTTGGAGTTAACAGGTAGACTGGCTTACTGCTGCTACTGAATTAAAAAAAAAATTTCTAGGCAAGTTAAGACAAAGTATCTATCCTATCCATCTCCACCAGGAAAGAGTTAGGGGGTGTGGGTTTGCAGGTCAATTAAGAAGAGCCCTTAAATGGGAGCTGAAAGACTGCCATATAGAATCTGAGCTTGACCGAGAACCTCCTGTGTGCGTCTTCTTGGGCCAGTCACTCATTTCTGGTTCTCAGTTTCCTCATCTGTAAAATGAGGGGAGTAAACTCTGTGGAGGACCCTCTGATACACATTCTCCAATGCCTTCCAGCAATAACATGACTTCTGGGTTGTCTGGATTCTAAGTTAATTTCAGATCTGGCCACGGGCTACTCAACCAACCATTTCATGGGCCCTGGGCGAATTATTTGGGTCCTTTCTAGAGCCCCGGGTCTTTACTCTGTACCATTCTGTCTGGGGGCCTTTTGCCCCCAATTTTCAGTCCCCTAGTGATGATGGAGCAGGAAAAGAGGGGAAGGTATCTACAACTTTGCTTGGCTGTTCCCTACCCGCCTCCCTCATCCCTACACTTCCATCCATCCAGCCCAGGGTTAGATGACCTCAGTGTAATTTGCGGGCATTCCAGGGCCCACGCAATAGTCAGCCCCTAGTGTTGGGCGGAGGGCTCCTCCACACTCCTTCCCCCCTCACGGAATGCTCCTGCCAAAGAACCCCGTTTCCCCAGGTCCCTCCCTGTGACCCCGCAGGTGGAGCCAGCTGGCCTAGAAGAGGTGATCACTGACGCCGTGGCCGGGCTGCCCCACGTGGTGCGAGTTAGTGCTCGAGACTTCCTTGATGCTGGCACCTGGAGCGACTGGAGCGAGGAGGCGTGGGGGACCCCGAGTCCTGGTGAGGGGAAGTGTTCAGGCCCGGGAGGATAGAAGGGAGGTCTGGAGAGCAGCCCAGTTCGTGGGGCCTGGTTCTGCCCTTCATAAGCCACTCTTGCTCTCTTAGCATTGACCGCCTTTGGTCCGAGCACCAGACCTAGCGAGAGGCCCCCGGAGACAGAGACACAGACGCAGGTGCAGGTGCAGGCACAGACAGAGATGAAGCCAGAGAGACAAGTTCTCCCCAGGCCCTCCCTGCAGCCTGACTCTCAGCCATTAATGGGTGAGTTGGTTGCTTGGGTATGCCAGGGTGGTCACAGACTGCAGCCTCATCAGGGATACCCAGACCCCAAACACAAGAGGCAGTGAAATGTGGGTTTTTAACTACCCCAACCCCCCCCCCAGGGCCTCCACCTGCTGAGGAGGTGGGGTCAAGCTGCTTCTCATGTGGGTTCTCCCTCCACCATCCAGACAACAGGGATCCCCTGGAGCAGGTGGCTGTGGTAGCATCTCTGGGCGTCTTCTCTTTTGTGGGTCTGGCTGCTGGGGCCCTTGTACTCCTGCTCTGGTGAGTGACTCCAGCCCTGTCAACACCCCATCCCTCTGCCAGCAAATTCCCTCAAAAGCCTCTCTCACCTGATGTGATAGATCATTCAGCCTCAGACTCCCTTTGTGCCTCCCCCCACTGGCCCATCCCTTTTATAGAATATTAGTTTATGGTATAAGTGAAAGAGTACTGGTTCTGGAGTCAGGGGACCTGGGTTCAAATCATAATGATCATTAGTTTCTTCCTTGAAAAATGAAGGGTCAGATCCATCTGGCTTTTAATACATGATCAAATGATGGGCTCTTAGAGATGATTTCTGGACCAACCTCCTCTTTTCCTAGGTGAGGCTACCACTGCCCCAATTCCCTTGAGTCCTGTGGAGGGCTGAGCCCTCCTGGGCCCAGGGGAAAGCTTGTTTTACTCTGTGCTCACCACAGGCTCAGGCTGAGAGGAAACAGAAAAGGGGCTGCCCCAAAGCCTGGATTCTTGGCTCCTATGGTGCAGGTGAAGACCATGCCTGGTGAGTGCCTTAGGAGGAGAGGTGGTTCCAAAGGTGGGAAAACCAAGAGGGGACCCCCCCCCCAGACACCTGCAGCAAATCACCTCCTAGCTCTCTAATGATCTTGTGACTTACCATTTCCCTTATCATATCTACAGGTCTTTCCCCTGAGGCCTCAATCCTGAGTTCCTATCCTCCTGGAAAATCTCACTCAGCCCATCCCTATCCTCTGGCCTTTCCCCAAAAACACAACCAAGTGGGTGGGTCTGTCGTCTCTAACTAGAGTTCTGATTCCCCAGATTTTGAGGGCTGGAGAATAAGTCCATAAATATCTCTACTCTCCAAGCCCATCCCCTTTCTGGATCTTAACCCTGCCCCTTTAACATTTCTGTTGTCTCAGCTTTTAGTCAGACTTCATATTCTCCTGTGGTGGGAGGAGAAGGGAGGGAGAGGGGGAAGAGGTCCCTCAGCAACATCATTCCTGTAATTGGACAAGTACATTGGGAATTCTGGACAGCCAGCCTTGTGCCAGGCCATAACCATGCACAAACAGAATGGATAGGTTCTGCCCTTGGGTTTTCCCAACACTTTAGTTGGAAAAGTAACCATTATTTGGAATTGAACTGAACAGAGGACAAGATGGGACAGTGTGTGATCAAGGGTGAGCACATGGTTCAGGTTTTCAGAGGCTGGAAAAGGGTAAGATTGATGTGAGCGGGAGCAGTAAGGGATGATTTGCCGGAGGACTTGAGGCAGGACCTTGTGGATAGGTGAAGAGGAATAGCAAAAGACGTTCTCTTTTAAGAGAATAGTTCAAGCATAATGTGAGGGGAGGGGGAAGAGGGAAGGCTGGGAGAAGGGGATACATAAGGGAGAGAAAGAGGAGGAGACAGGACCTAAAGACTTGGGGGGCTATGGGTGGGGGGAGAAAAATACTTAGCTCCCTTCCCTGTCTCTTCTAGCTTGGGTCTTCTTTTGGAACATCTGGAATGTGTCCAGAGAGTCCAAAGATAGGCCAAGGTGCCTTCAGAGACCCTTCCTCAAATTACTTCCCTTTTCTGCTTCCTTACAGTGGCTCAGATCCTGTAAGTGAACTTTGGAGGATCTCATTCCTAGTAGGATCTTTACAGTCAGCACCAGTGTGGAAGGACAGCCGGAGTTTCTGGAAGGATAGTTGACTCCCCTTCAACTCCATTGTCTTGAGGGGCTATTTAGGGTCCATTTTTGTGGGACTCACAATATCCCCAATATATGCTATTCAGTGGGTGGGTGAACAACTCCTTAGTCACGGGGCTCATGCAATATCCTCCCTTTCCCACCCCAACCCCGGCTCGGAATAAGGGAAACAGACTTCCCTCTCAAACATCTGGGGCCATAAGGGACATATACGGAAATACACCTGAGGCAAGGTGAGGTGTGTTTCTATGTACATGTGGGAAATATCCATGTGTGTGTTTGTGTGTCTATGTGTAGGACCCTGGGTATGAGTCAGGTGGTAACATGGGCTTTCTGAAGACTATACACCTGTGGTTGTTTAGACACATACCTGTGTAAGCCTCCTAGTTCTGTATTTGTGTGTGGGCACCAATGCATGTTGGTGGGAGAGGAAGCTTGGAGGATGATAGGGTATTGTTGCAATGTATCTATGTGAATAAAAGGAATTAGGAGTTCTTTGTCATACCCTTGGCATAAACTCTTCTGAAGGTGTTGGCGCCCTCTGGAGAAAGTTACTTCCTAGATTTTTCCCATCTTATCCCTGTTTCTCTCCCTGATGTTTTGAGCTACCAGAGGCTTCTGTCCAGCTCATCTTTATTAGGGGAAGAGCATTACCTGAAAGCAGTGGGTGGGGGGCTGCTTTCCACAGTTCTGGTCGCCAGGGCTGATTTTCTGGTTCCTGTGCAGAGCTCAGGCTTTTAAGTCCATTCGCTTTCTCCCCACCTTGGGCCTCTAAGGAAATGACTGCCCCCCCCAGGGGGGGGTCAGGCAATATATGGGATTGGGTTTTTGAGGAAAAAGACCTGAACTGAGATGTATCAGTTCTCACAGGAGACTGGAGGAAATGGGGGTGGGACTGGGCGTGGGGGTGGGGGCTAGGGAGTTGGGTTGAGCCTGGTCCTATGACCGTAATTCTTCTGCCTCATCTTGTTTCGGGACAACCACTGAACTAGAGAACGATTCTTTGGGTGAACACAAACAGGTCGTCCTCCTTTTCGGTGCAGCCTGAGGGGACAGGATAAGGGATTAGTTGGGAGAGCAAGAGAAGGGCCAGGAGGGGACTAAGTGATGAGTCTTAAAGGTGAGGTGAGGGGGGGCGGGAGTCAGGATCTGATTTGGACTCACACATAAGCCTGTATATGACAGTCGCCATTGGCCTCTTGTAGTTCTACCTGGATGACATTCCGGAGTACTTTACTGGGGAGATTCTTTCGATAGACTTGGGTGCAGCATGAAATGCTGGGGTCTAGGGGTAGGGCTGAGGGAGGTAAAGGAAGAACAGAAATGTGCTCAGAGTGATCTTGGGGGCTGGAAACCCTAAACGCAAGAAGCTGCATCCTTCCAGTCTAACAACTGAGAACCTCCCTCCCCACAAGTCTGAGGGACCTCTTCCTACAATCTAAGAGACTCTAGCAGACAGCACTTGAACTTGACAGCCTGACAACCTAAAATGCCCCTCCCTCTCAATCCCCTTTCAAGAGTACTGTTACTCTCCCAACATTGTTTTCAAACCCTCCTCCCTCACCTCTCTGTCTTTACCCAGTTGACTCATCTCACCTCTTCTGGGGCTGGAGTTGAGTAGCAACAGGGTCAGAGTCAGGGTTAGCTCCATTCCCTTCATGCTGCTTCTAGCGAGTTTGGGCTGTGTAAGGAACCTCTGAAAACACTCCGTGGGGCCCAGCCTTTTAACTGGGACAGGTTTAGGGGAGGCGTGGAGTTCCCCTGTACCTAAAGTCTGACTGAAGAAGGCATTCTTGGAGGCTCCACCCTCTCCTGTGAGTCAGGGTGTGGAAGTTCTGTTTCATCCCCTAGGACTCCTCTTTATCACCCCTTCAGTGGTGGAGTGGGGAGAGGGGGACCCTCAGGCATCAGATGAGTCATGGGCAGGTGGGACTCAGGTTCTTTCCTTTATGGGCCCATGACAAAACAGGATCTCTCTGACTAGTCACCTGGGAGTCCATCTCTCCCCTCCCAGTAGTTCCTTCAAGGCAATTAGATGATGGTGATCTTCCAAGGTCATAGTAGCTCACTTGCATACAGTATAGTTCCTCTAGAAGTTGATATCTCCATCCTGAGTCCCCATCCCCACGTCCCTCTGTGTGCCTACTCCTTGGCTAACTTCAGGTTCTCCCCTTTAGTGGGGCCTTGAAGTCTAGGGCTAGGAAAACACAGGCTTTTTAGTCCTGGGCCTGTTGCTAATAGTTTTCTGGGCAAAATTTCCTCCCATGGCCTGAGCCACTTCCAGCTTCTTTCCAGATTACTGGATTTCTTTTGTTTTCATTATTCCCTGATGAGAGGATATGCTGTGATTGAACACAGTGGTGAAAAGGGGGTAAAAATGGGGAGGGATTCCTACAGTCATAGTGAATCATGATCACTGTGACATCCATTAGTGCATTCAAAATGATATTCAGTCCCATGAAGTGCCTTGTGTTCATGAGCCCCTATGAGAGGAGGCTCTGGATGGGAAACAGCTGATGCATACGTGGATGCAAACTGAAGTTTATAACAGATCTGGCAGATCCTTTCCTTCTCCCACCCTTTATTTCGTGCCCCAGCCTGTTTCTCTTATCAGGAAAAAACAACTTATCATAGCAACTTCTAGTAATGAAACATAAATTTGAGCTGATTCCCATCCTTTCCTGATTGCTAATCACAGACCATGGGAACAGGAGACAGATTATAGAACACTACTTCAAAGATTGTTTTCTGGAAGGTTGAATATGGTGATTCTTCTGCCTTGACCCTAAGCTCCAACCTTACCCCCATCGTGTCTTTCCTCAAGATGTGGAAAGCTAGTGGAACTTGCTCCCTAGATTCCCCAAGTTGGAGGGCTGTGAGATTTAAGGGAGACAAGGGATGACAGTGATCTTGGTTCAGTGAGGTAACTTTGAGGAAGAGAACTCGATCTGGGTCCTCTCCTGGAATCTGGGCAAGGGCACCAGGGATCTAAGCCCTTGGAGCTTTTGGCTTGACATCCTGGGGACGCCTGAGTGGGAAGGGGAGAATATTCTTCCATTCTTGGTGTAGCAAAGAGGGTGGGTCCAAGAAGAGATAAGGGTTAAGTTGATGCCAGATTAATCGCAGAGGCACACCACCTTAGGAAAACCTGAGTTTCTTACCTTGTCCTGTCCCTGGAATGTGTCAGCCTGAACAAGGACATATGAGGTTCCTAAAAGGACTTTGGACCCCCAACTCTCAACCTTCCACTCAAAACCTATGGTTCAGAAGCTTCAAGTACGCCATTTCTAATAAGGAATGGTTGAAAGACTTGAGAATGTTCAACCTGGAAAAGATAAAACTTAGGGAGACATTGTAAGAGCTAAAAAGCAGGGAGGGTGGGGGTAGAGTTAGACCCCTTGTAGCTCCAGGTAAAGCTAGGACAAATGAGTGAAAGCTAAAGGTAGATTTCTGCTGAATAAATTCTTTACAATTACAGTTTTTAAGAAAGTGAAATATATTTCCTCCTGATATTTCTCATCACTGGAACTGATTAAACAAGCAGTAATATCAGGACATATAGGAATTCATGTGTTAGGTAAGATCTCTAAGATTCCTTCCAATTCTGTCTATATCTAGGTCAGTTTGATGACCAGCTGTATAGGGCATTGGATGAGGGTGACTAAGGTAGGATAGTGCACCTGCACCTTGGGATGGGTTGAGATCTTCATTAAGCCAGAAACCTGGATTTCAAAGTAGTCTGGATTAGAATTTGAACAATTAAGAACCATGTGTTTTGTTAGTTTTGTGTACTTCGACTGTGTTCATCAGTTTTTACTTTAGCCTCAGTAATGGTCGCTTAAAAAAAACCAACAACAAAAAACTTTAAACCAAAATAGTTTTTCGGGAACTGAGTAGAAAAAAGGTTGGTTTGCTCCTTGTAGCCATCGCTGGTAGTGGTTGCAAGTTGCCAATACCGGGGCTAGGGAATGAATAGAACTGTGTGACACCAGCGCGTTGTAGACGTGTTTCATTTCCCCACATTTTATAGAATTATAGGATTTAGAACTGGAAGGGCCATTAAAGATCATCTAGTTCAACCCCCTCATTTTATTGATGAAGAAACTGAGGCCAAAAGAAATTCCTCACTCAGAGATTCTGTGACATTGCCTATTTGCTAATAGAAGTCCCTGATGCTGGTTCACAGATGGGGTGTTCCTGACGAATTTCACGGATGGGCCGCAGGTACTAATTGGGGATCACTGATGAGGGCGATTGGTGATACTGATTGGTGGCCCCTTAAAGGGGGATTCCTGATACTGATGAGGTGTCCCTGATGATGTCAATGACATTGATTTGGGGAGGAGGGGGAACTGCTGCAGCTCGAAGGGGTAGAAGAGTGAAGGAAGAAGAAAGGTAACGATCCTCTCAAACCCACAGCCTTCCCCTTGGGGTAAGGGAAACGTAAGCACCAAACCCAGTCCGCACACATTGTGGTTCCCTTCTTTTTCCCTCCCCCTACCCAACAGCGGCAGCGGCAGAGACTGGCTGGCAGAGTCAGGATCCAGGTTAAATCCTTTACTCCACGGCACTGCTGGGGAGCGGCTGGGCCCCGGCCCGATAGACTGATGCTTGCTGGGTCCCCCGGGGCGGCACTGCCGGATGGCGGGGACTGCTTCGCCTGGAAGGGTGGGGGCCCAAGCCCCTGGACAGGCAGCTCACTAGGCGGGGAAGGGGTTCCAGCTTCTGCCTCTGGGGGGGTGCTGCGCTGTGGAGGGTTCACCGGCAAGGCTCCAGAGGCCTGAACTGGAGGGGTTCTGGGAGCTGGCTAGTGAGGTAGTGAGGGGCGGGGCGCAGGCCACATTCCGCCCTCCCCCCTCTATCCCCACCCCAGCAGGTTCTGAATCTTGGGAGAAAATGAGGCAGCGCAGCCACTCCGGAGATGTAGCCGGACTGCAACCCAAGGAGTCCTCACCTCTGGGAACCGCCCTCACCCCCTTTCCAGACTCTTTTCAGACTTTCTCTATCCATCTCACCTCTTTTCCCTTCGCCACATCCGCAACCAAGGGAAGAAGTAAAAACAGCCCCAATAGATCCTAAAGAAAAGGAAGCCAAGTGGGGAGAAGGGATGGAGGAGGGGTGGGAAGGCGCAGCCTCTTGACCCTTAGGGTCCTCTTATCATTTCTCCTACCATTTCTCATCACTTGGTCTCACAGTCCATAATCCCTCCCCACCTCTTTTATTTCCCATGCCCCTCTCCCCACTATTACCCCTCCGCTGCCGCCACCCGATTGCCCGGTACCCCAACTCACTCCTCTTCTGCCTCCAGCGCCACTTCGTATCTCTTCAACCCCGGCATGTCCTTGGCTCCAGCCGTAATCCTAAGGAGGTGAATGTCGTTGGTTGGGTCTTTGGGGGTCTCAAGGCCCTTACGTCCCCCACTCTTTTCTTCTTCCTTTCCCCTCCCCCGCCTTTTCTATGAATCAAGCCCTTACTGCGTCCCACGCTTCACCAAAGTCCAACCGCAGTTGCCCTGAAAGTAGGAGAAGAGAAAGAGGGTCCTCTGTCGGGGCCCCACTGGCACCTCCCCGCCTCCCTCAGACGCCTCTGGCGGGATCTCAATTAGGTAAAACAGAGAGGCCCCGAAGAGAGGAGGTGCCCAGGGCGAGAGGAGGCTATTATAGATGGTTCCAAGGAGCCAAGCCTGGGTGAAGGAGCGTAGTCTCAAAAAGAGTTCCTTGCCAGGACTTCTCCCTACCCACCAGCACCCCAAATCCCCCTCAGAAAAACCGTCCTATGAGGAGATGAGAACTATGAGGTAGTGAGGAGAAGGATTGATGGACAGTGAAAGGATTAGACTGAGAGACGACCAGGGGATAGGGTCTGAGGAGAAGGAGGGTAAAGACAAGTAGTCTTTGGAAAGGCAGGTAAAGGGAAGAAGATGAGGGTCGTTGACAGAACGAAGGCTAAGGGACGTTGAAGGGCCCAAAACAGATGAACAAGGAGATAGAGATAAGGGACACGTGAAGTAATGGAAGATGAATGTGAGGGGATAACCAGGGAAGGTTAGAGAAGGAGTAACACCTGAGAGAACAGAGGAAAAATGGATTGAGGCGTAACTTGAGGGCATGGAATGAGGTTATGGACTGAAAGTGAGGAAAAGTCAAGGGGAGCCAGAAGATGCAGACTTAAAGACAATGAAGGTCCATACAGTGAGAGACTATGAACGGGCAGGCCCCAAGGACAATTAGTGGTTGAGGATAAAGGATAATGAGGACAGAAGGATGGGCAGTGAGGAAATGATGAGGTACAATATACAGGGCCCGAGCTGAGAGACAGAGAGGGGGTGAAGACTGAAGGTTGCTGAGAGGAATAGGAAATGGGGGGGTAATGATGAGGCAGATTAAAGGAAGAGACAAGAGGGAGAACAGGGGAAGAGAGGAGATTGTGAAAGGATGAGTTGAAATGATGGAATGGGAGGGAAGTAAGTGATATGGGGCAATGAAGGGGACCTGAGTATGGAACAGGGAAGTGGGGAGGGTGGGTAGGAGTGTGGGAGAATGGGGAGGGGCAAGAGGGAGGATGAGCAATTGAGATGGACGGAATACAGTGGCAGAGGGAGGGAGGAATGGAGAAGGTCCTGAAGGACAGTGAGCGGAAAAGGATTGAAAGGATATGGAATTAAGGGAGTAGCCAGTGTGGATGAAGAAAGTAGGACTGTTGTGGAAGGACGAAGGGGGTAGGGTGAAGGTTGAGGGATAGGGGGAAGAAAGAGGGTGAAGATGGAGGTGAATAGATGAGAGAGTAGAGTGAAGAAGAGAGGGCATAGGGTGAATGAAAATGATAGAGGAATGAGGAAGGTAAGGGAATGGGATCAGGGGTAGAAGAGTGCAGCTGAGAGATGAAGGTAAGGGGATGTGAAGAATGAGGAAGATGGGAGAGAAGAAACAGAGTGGAGTAATGGGGATGAGGAGTGAATTGGGTAGGGTGATAGGGAATAAAAAGTGAAAGGAGTTGGAGTTGAGGAACAACAAGAAATGAAGGGGATGAATGAGAAGTGAGGGGGATAAGGTGTGAGGGAACTGGGGCAAGAGGAAGGGATAATGGGAGGGTTTGGAGTGAAGAATTTAGATGATGAGATGGGGGTTAGGAGGGGGACAGGAAGGATACGGATTGGGGGATGATGGAGAGTGAGTAAAATGAATGGGGGTTAAAAAGGGAGTGGAGGAATGAATGAGGTGAATAAAGGGATAAGCGAAAGGGACGGTAGAGATGGAGAGTAAGAGGAGGGGAATTGGGGGATAAGGAGTAAAGAGACAGGAGTGAGAGTTAGGAATGAAGGGAATGGGGGATGAGGAGTGAGGGGGATGACGGAAGATGGGGAGTTATGGAAGGTGATGGGAGGATTAGGAATGAAGGGAATAAGAAGTGAGGAGCACAGAAATTATGAGAAAGGGAATGAGGAGGTGGGGTGGAGATGAGAAGTGAAGTGGGTGGGGGATGGGAAGTGAAGTGGTTGGGGGATGGGAAGATTTGAGTGTTGAATGAAGGGGTTTTGGGGATGAAGGAATGATGGGAGAGTTAGGAATGAAGGGAATGGGGATAATGAGGAGAGGGTGATGGGAAGATAAAGAGCGAGGTGGAATGGAAGATGGGATGATGTGAATGTTAGGAGGGGGTTGGGGAATGAAGATCAAGGGGATGATGGAAAGCAAAGTAAAGGGGATGGAGAAAACAAGAAAATTAATGGCGAATGAAGGAGATGAGCAGTGAGGAGAGATGGGGTATGAGGTGTGGGAAAGATAGGGGATGAAAAATGAGGGGGGGAGGCTGAGCAGTGAGGGGGGATGGTGGATGAATGGGGGTGATGGGAAGGCTGGGCTGCGAGAGGGATGATGGGAGATAAGCAGTGAAGGGATGGGACTGAGGAGGATGAGCAGCGACAAGGAAAATGAAAGATGAGCATTGAATGGGGGGTAATCGGAGGATCAGGAGGGAGGGGGATGAGTGGGGTGACGAACGTGAGGGTAGAGATGAGGGAGGAGGGGAGTCACCTGGGAGGAGGGGCCTGAGGGCCTGCGCAGCAGCCTGAGCTCCCTCCCTCCCTGGTTTCGCCCTAGAGACCGTTACATGATGACGGAAACGTCACAGGGGCTGGCAGGCCAGCGGAGAGGGTGGAGCCAGCTTGACACTCACCGGGGGTGGGTCTCTCCGTTCCCACGTGGGTGAGCCCGAGCTTCCAAAGCAGTGCCCACTGCGTCTCAGAGGGATCAGAAGTGTTTGGGCGTGTGTGTGTCATTCCAATTTCCTGCAGGCAGTGGAGTGGGGAAGGGGGAGGAGGAGGAGGTGCTATCCAACAGAAGGCATCAGGTAGCAGTGGTTCCAAGCAGCAGAAATCTCCCAGTTAGGGGACAAGATGTCCCGGGGATCAAGCAGAGTTGGATCCAAGGAGTCAAGCCTCCCTTTCTCTTTTGGCCTCCGCGTTGTGAGGAAAGCTCAGGCTTTCAGCCCTAGGGAAGGTGCAGGATACTAAAAGGATCAATGCAAATGTGGAGGGACGGGGAGAAGGAAAGTGGTTTTTGCCAGAGTCGGGAAAAGAACCCACGCAGGCATCCTGCTAACATCACGTGTATCTCCCTGTCCCTGCCTCCCCTCCCTCAGTCACCTCCCCCTTCCGCCACCAATCTCTACCCGCCTGCCATGGTACTTAAGGATATTTTAAGTTCTTGAATGATTCCAAATCCGTTTTGGGTGGACCATGTGTGTAGTTCATGGGAGGATATGGATAAAAGTCACAGGATAAGCAGGTATGGATGGGTACTGTCTGTTTCGTGGGAAAGAATTTCCAAATCGATTAGATTCATTTGAAACAGTGAAGTTCCTTTTTCCTTCCATGGTCCCTCACTATTTTCATACTTCTCTTGTTAAGCACACCCCAGTTCTGTTTCCAAGTCCCCCGCTTTCTCTTTATAAGTACTTCCAAGGGTTGCCTATAAGGGATGAAATCATCCCCTCTGTATTTTCCCTTTTTCCTCTGTTCTCTGTAATCTGTTTCCATTCCACTTCCACTCTCAGTCTCCCTCAAATTCCCCACCAGATTTCCCTTCTCTTCCCACACAAGGCACTGCCCAGCAGCTGTTGGCCAAGACGCGGTAGTGATGGACTCCAGCCCAAAAGAGACAAATTTCAGGGAGTGGCTCTCCAAGCCAGAGGGACCCTTGGGCTCCTTACAGTGGGGCACTTGGGAGGGTTAGAGTTAGTAGAAGAGTTGGGCAGGAACGGAGGAAGAAGATGGAGGAGATTGAAGGAACAGAAAGTACTATTTCTAAAATAGGAAGCTAAGGGAGGGGCTGGTAGTTATCCTGGAATCTCTCCTACCCCAATCCAGAAAGAGAAAAAAGCTCAGACAGAACAAGATGGAGACAGGGAGACAGATGAGAGAAGAGGAGAGGGATAGAGACAGATATAGATATAGAAAATGAAAAGAACTCATAAAGAGCCTCCATGACACCCACCCAGTGGGTAGATCTTGCTTGAAATGTCCCTAGTCTTAGATCCTAGATAAAACTATTTGCAATTTGAGAGAGGGCAAGGTTACACTCCCTGGTGCTTTTCTTTATTGGACAGGAGTATACTCTAACGCTTCCCAATTTTCTCCAGTGACCCATCAGGGATCCTGCCAACAGACATTTCTCCAAATCATCCAGATGCTTTTGTTTCCAACCTATTTCCCCTTACTCTCCTTAGACTTCTCTCCTTTCTTTTCCTCCCTTTCTTTCCTTGCCTCTCTTCTCCTTCTCTTCCTTTTCTCTTACTTCCTACCCCAAAGGGATGAAACCCTCACAGTCATTTCTGCTGGACTGGTATCGAACCTCACATTCCATTCTCTCAGCCTCAAAGGCAAACTAGAGTCCTAGTGTCCAGAATTTGAGGGAAAAAAAGCCTGTCCCTCCCTCTCCATCTCCTGCAAGGTATGATAGACTCTGATCCCTTGTCCCTTTCCTGGCCTTATAGTTCTCAAATCCATGAAATGTACTGGGTCTGCCCTTCTAAGGATTTTACTTTGGTTTTGTTTTTTTTTTTTGGCTAGGCAATTGGGGTTAAGTGACTTGCCCAAGGTCACACAGCTAGTAAATGTCAAGTGTCTGAGGCCATATTTGAACTCAGGTCCTCCTGACTCTAAGGCTGGAGCTCTATCCACTGTGCCATCTAGCTGCCTCCCCTTTTTTTATTATGTAGCTTTTTTAAAACATTTTTTTCTCTTTTAGGCAATTAGGGTTAAGTGACTTGTCCAGGGTCACACAGCTAGTAAGGGTCAAGTGTTTGGTCTGAGGTCAGATTTGAACTCAGGTCCTCCTGACCTCAGGGCTGGTACTCTATCCACTGCACCGCCTAGCTGCCCCTTAGGGCTTTTCTTTGGTTGTGTCTTGGTAAGAGGTAATACTAGGTTCAGGTTTCCAGTATCCGAGAAGGGAGATGGGCTGTTTGTCTCATAAAGTCATAGATCATAGGATGTCAGAGTTGAAAGGGACCTTTGGAAGTGTCTAATTCTAACCAGAATACCTAACAAGGGATGATAAAATTATATTTGCCTGGTGTCTTGCAAATCAGATCAAAAAGACTCTAAACTGAACAGGAAGAGAGGGGGAGAAAAAGTGTCTATATTTATCCACCAAGCTAAATGTTATAGGAGAGTCGCTACAATGTAGAAGAATGGCAGTTGAAATAACAGTTCACGGAAGACAAAATCTAAGAAAGGACCCTGATGCGTAAACCGTGGTCTTAGATGTTTGTTCACAAATGCATAAAGTATAGGCAACAAGCAGGATCCTAATGCAAGGAGGCAAATTTGACCTCATGAGTATCACTGAGACTTGATGGAATGAGACCTAGCCAGGAATGGAATGGTATGCCTTACTCAAAAACAAAACAAAACAGCCAGTATGGGTAATGAGAGGTCGTAGGAGGCATTGTATATTAAGACGATAATAATAGTTTGAGGAAATCTGGGAACAAGAAGAAGGAAGAATAGTAGGGAGCATTTGGCTGAAGAGCAACAGAAGCAGCTACAAAAGTGGTATTTCCCTCATAGTATCCCCTAGGATTCCTGGGCAGAATGAGGGAAAAGGTGAATTGAGAAACAATCCTGCACAGAGGTATAATATAGAAGTGATGAGGGAACTTCGATTATTCAGACATCTGCTAGAGAGATCTCTCTGCCCAAAGCAGAACAACTAATGATGTGTTGACTTGCCTTAATTAGAATTTTCTCCAGAAGGCAGAGGAACCAACAAGGGGAATTTTATTCTGGACCTGATTCCTACCAACAGGGAGAAACTAGTTGTTGGAATGGAAATGATGGGAACCGTGGGAAAAAGTAACAACTCCATCTTAGAATTTGTGCTAGAAGAGGAGAGGAAAGCCAAGCATAGTCTGACGTGCATACCATATTTTAGAAGAGTAGATTTTAAAGGGTTCAGAGGAAATATAGGTAGGATTCCATGAACTAAAATCCTATAGAGGAACTTATCCCCAAGGAGCTGGGGAAACTTTCAAGAATGAAGTTCTTTTTTTTTTTCAGTCTGTTTTTTAAATTAATTTATTTTGACTTATCAACAATCACTTCCCACAAGCTTTTGAGTTTTAAATTTTTCTCCCCTTCCATCCCCAAGATGGCCCTGCAATCTGATATAGGCTATACCTATACATTCTTGTTAAACATATTTTCACATTAGTGATGTTGTAAGGAAGAATTAGAACCAATATAAGGAACCACAAGAAAGAGGAAACAAAACAAAACAGAAGAAAAAAAAAAGAGCAAATAGTATGCTTCAATCTGCATTCAAACTCCATAGTTCTTTCTTTGGATGTGGATAGCATTTTCTATCATGAGACTTTTGGAGATGTCTTAGATCCTTGCACTGCTGAGAAGGGCTAAGTCTATCAAAGTTAGTCATCGCACAACGTGGCTGTTACTGTGTACAACATTCTTCTGGTTCTGCTCACTTCATTCAGCATCAGTCCATACAAGTCTTTCCAGGTTTTTCTGAAGTCTGCCTGCTCATCATTTCTTATAGCACAATAGTATTCCATTGTTCAGCCATCCCCCAATTGATGGGCATCCCCTCAATTTCCAATTCTTTGCCATCAGAGCAAGAGCTGCTATACATATTTTTGTATATATGGGTTCTTTTCCTGTTTGTATGGTCTCTTTGGGATACAGCCCTAGAAGTGCTATTGCTGGGTCAAAGGGTATGCACATTTTTATAGCCCTTTGGACATAGTTCCAAATTGCTCTCCAAAATGGTTGGATCATTTCACAACTCCGCCAACAATGCATTAGTGTTCCAATTTTCCCACATCTTCTCCAACGTTTATCATCTTCCTGTTTTATCATGTTGGCCAATCTGATAGGTGTGATGTGGTACCTCAGAGTCATTTTGATTTGCATTTCTCTAATCAAAAATGAAGATAATGTGAAATGATGAGAGGGAAAGGGAGCCATCTGAATAGGTTGATGTGGATGTACAAGTAAATGATGAATCAACTTAGATTTTAAAAAGATAGAAACATGGGACAACTATGTGGAGCAATGGATAGAGCACTGGCCCTGGAGTCAGGAGGACCTGAGTTCAAATCTGGTATCCAACCAGACTCTTGACACTTACTAGTTGTGTGACCCTGGGCAAGTTATTTAACCCCAATTGCCTCACCAAAAAAAAAAAGATAGAAACTTAGAAGATGGAAGCAAAGACTGGTAATAAATGATGAATACAAAAGCTTGACATGGAAATATAAAACTAGTGTCCAAAGTACAAAAACTTAGAATGAGCTAAAGTTGATGAGGAAAGCTAAGGACAGCAAAAAGAGTTTTATATTGAGGAAAAGAAAGGGATCAAAATGGTATTGGATGGATAAGATGGAAAAGACAAAGAGAACGGATGACAGAGAAGGCATTCAACTCTAATTCTGCTTTTTTTTTTCTATGCCAAGTAGAATGATGTTTGGTTTGGAAAGAATAGAACAAAAATGGCTAATATGGATGGTCAACATAAATAAGCAGATAAGGAGCAGAGCATCTACCTGTCCTTAATGAGCTAAAGTGACCTGGCCCAGATAAACCACAATCTAGAATACTGAAAGAACTGGTGGATGTGATGGCTGAGACAGTCAGTGGTTTTTGAAAGATT